GTAGAAACTTTGCTTTTTTTACTTTTTTAACACAGTGGCCTTCTGAACTTGCATCTGCTACTGGGCTTTGATCGCAGCCTTTATACTTGATGAGTTTAGTTAGGTTCACTTGAGAGTCTGTAATGGGCTTCCAGTGCTCTACTAAGACAGTTTTCCTCTCTCTTTTCTTCCAAACTTTCCCTACTTGATACTATCTTCGGTTTTGTACAACACCCATTCCTTTTTTCTTTTGTCTTGGCTTATCAATAAGGTATCTACCTTCGGGGATAGAAAGTTGGGTGTCCTTGTCTTAAAGTCTGGTTTAACTTGTCTACTGTTTGGATCGATAAGTACTTTTTCCTCTATTTTTCTAAACCAGATAGGTGTTTTCCCAGAGGCTTTTTGTCTCTTGCATTTTTTTGATCTGTTACCATGCAAGCATCTTATCACCTGTATTGTCTAGAATCTGCTTGAGTGCTAAGATGCCCATCTCTCTTTCTTGTATAAAACTCATTATTTCTCTTTTCTCCAAAAGATTGATGACTTTTATACATGCTTCTGCTAGTTTTAGGTTTTCTTTCCATTCATATGATCTTATACTTAGATTCATTCTCTTGGCCTTGAGAAGGATTTTATAAGCGAGATTGTATTTAAGATGAACTTTCTTATGTCTCTCTAGCTCGATACTTGTTATGCACTTTGTGCTTTTGCAGTTTATCTGTGCCTGTTGGATCCTAATCCAGGTCGCTTTGCCAATCTCACTATTACTATTGATTCTTTTTCTTAGCTCTGTCACATGATATGCCATCTGGTTTTGCCAAATTGTTCTAAAGCCCACTATGTTTTTGTGGGCTAGGATTGCATTTGCCGTTGTGCTTGCTAGATCCGATTTGTTTTTAATGAGTTTCAGCAGGGGCTTTGCAGTTTGTCACATTGATTTCTTGATATTATACAATGCTGCATTCAGTACTCCAGCCTTGGAATCAGTACCCTGTTGTTGATATAGATTAGCTGTGCGAGTGTTGTATTCTTTTTATATATTGCCTTAATAATTGTTTGGATTTCTCTTTTTATAATGTCTATTATGTGTGAGTAATTGTTCTTTCTAGACAACCATATGCCCAAGAATTTTGTTGCTTCATTTGCCTTCTTTTCGACTATTTTTTCCCCTGTAGGTCCTATTTCTATGCACCTTGGCTCGTTTGTCTTTTTGCCACCTATTATTAAGAGTTCTGATTTTTTACTATTGATTTCTATATCATTTATCTTGTGCGATACTGATAATCTCCAACTTTTCTTTGCTCGATGCGACGAAAGTGGTGTCATCTGCATAGGCTATAACTGGAATATTTAGCTGTTGGAGGCAGGTGCTGTTTCTACTAAGATCTTTGGGCCAATGCACTTCTAGATTGTATCCTCGTTTACTACCACTTTGTATTTCTACTAGCAGGGGGTCATAAAAGATCCTCCAGACTAGGGGTGAAATTACTTCTCCTTGGTCTATATCATCCCCTGCTATGAATCTCTCTGTTGTACCCACACTTGTCAGTACCTCCATTTCGCGATTGTCATACAAATTGATAATGAATCGTGTTAGTGTATCTGGTATTTTAATTTTTTGTAGCGCCAGCTTTAGCATCTTTAGCCCTACAGAGTCGAATGCTTTTTTCATATCTTGGAACATAAGCCAAAGCTTCTTCTTTTTTTCTTTTGCTTCTTCTACGAGACAGTTAATTAGGTATACTGGTGCTGCTGTACCTTCTTCAGGGAGGCCTGCAAAGTTTCTTCCTTTAAGCACTTTTCTTTCTTTTATTATCTTTGCTAGTCTATTCATTACCACCCTTACGACCATTTTCCTGAAAGATTCCAAGAGTAATATTAGCCACACATTGTTTAGGTTGAAACACCAGTCTTCTGTTTTAGATATCAGGTACAACATACCTAGCTTCCACTTTTTGGCATTTTGCCTTCTTCAATACACCTAGAGGCGAAGCTTATAAAAATCTGTTTTGTGTCTGAGTTTATATATCTGATTAGTGGGTATGTGATGCCTGTTGTACCTGGGGCTAACTTGGCCTTGACCTGTTCTAGAGCCTGTTTCTATTCAGTTAGGCTGATTGTGTTCAAAGTATCTTTGTACCAGGTCTCCTCAATATCTTCTCTTGGGGTATATTGATTTCTCCACCTAGCTGATATTTCCTCTATCTGTGTTGTATTTCTTTTATGGAACTGCTTCTCAAAATGTTCATGAGTCTCTTTGAGTAGATCTTCTGGCTCGTATACTAGTTCCACTTCACCCTCTACCTCTTTGACTATTCTGTCTATTTTGATTCGTTTGTGAGGGCAGCTTAAAAGGCTGTTTAGCATTTTTCGCTAGTTGGAAACTATGAAGCTGTGTCTATCTTCAATACTTCTCCTTATCTCAGCTTCTTCAGCTTTTTTTATTTTTTGTTGCCACTCTTTGTGCAGAATTTTTGCCCAGTTTTTTAAGTTTTCACTGCCTCGTATCTCAGTTTCCATCTCTAAGACCATGCCGTAATCTTTTTTAAGCTGTATGAGCTTATTAATAATATCCACCTTATCTTCCTCATGTAGTGCCTTTTTTTTTAATTTGTTATACCCTTTGTTACATGCTTTGACTGCTAATCTAATTGCCTTTAGCTCTCTACTTTCTCTACTAATTTGCTATATCTTGGGCATTTTGCTCTTTCTTGGGAGATTTTCATTAGCTGCTAAATGAATACACTCTTCTATAATGTCCCACTAATCGTCTATGCTTTTTGGTTTGTGTTTGCACCAATGCTCTTTGAGTTTTTTCCCCAGTTCTTCTTTGTATAAACTCCAGTCTTCTTTTGATGCCTTGTCCAGATCTAAATTTACTCTTTTATGGTTTTTCTGTCTTAACTTTGCTGGGGTAGTTTTTCTTAGCTCTAACTCTGTAATAATGTTTGTTCGTATGAGCTTGTGGTCACTCATTGTACATAGGTCCATATCGTCTACTTTAGAGCTGATTATATTTTGTTTCCAAATACTAGAGACCCAAATATAGTCAATTCTTGATTCGCTAATACTGTTCGGCTATGTAGGTATTTGTGTGGCTTCTTGTACATCATATAGGTTTTTTTCTTCTAATAAGGCCAGAATTTTCTGTTTTGATTTACTTTTGGAGTTTGTATCACTGGAGAAGGCGTTTTCTTCTGAACTGCTTGTGCTAACATTCAAATCTCCTAAAATTATGAACCGCTGAGGTTTTTGGCTTGGTTTCTCCAAAGTTTTCCTTAACCTTTTTAAAATCTCTTCTTGTATTGTTTTGTCGCTTGGAGTTACATAAATAAATACTATCACTATAGAAAGGCTTTTAAAGTCGAGAGACAGCTTTAGAAAGTACAGGCTATCTCGATCAAGCTGTGTGATGTGTTGTTTCCAATGTTTTTTGATCAGCACCCCGAGGCCTGACCCTTTTTTTTTATTTTCCTCTGCACTTGCCTAAAAACTTTTATATACCTTACTGTCCTTAGTTGCAAAGGTGCCTTCTATGTTACTAATATTAGTTTCTCCTAAACCCAAGATGTCTATTTTTTTCTCTTCTGCATAGTCTATAACCACTTTTAATTTGTTTTTATTGTTCTTAATGCCATTAATATTGTGGAACCCAATATTTAAAGTTTTAAAATACTCATATATGCTTTCTTGCTTATTTAATTCTTTTAGGAGCTTCTTTTTCTCTGGGATATTCTCTGCTAGCTCCCTTTCTTTACCCTTGTATACTCTAGAGTTAGTCATTGATTTGCCCTTGGCGCCTTTTTAGGAGCGATCCGCTAGGGAGTTCCTAGTAGAAGGAGTGCCAGGGAGCACTTTCTGATTTTCAAGTTTGTCAAGTCTGTTCAAAATTTGTGACATGTTGTAAATTGAGTTGTTGTCTGCCTGGTCTCTATTTTCTACATGTTTCATACTATTCTGGTCTTTGACTGCTTGGTTTTCTTTGTCCTGACCATCCTTCTCAGGCTGGTTCTTGTATCCTGCTAGATTCGATTTGTTGTTGCTATTTTTCTCTTTAAGCACTCTATTCCACTTAAGTTTTCTATCTTCTGAGCTTTTTATATTGAGATCTTCTCTTTTCCTTTTGGTTTTCGAGTTACAAGCACCTTTCAATTCTTTTTTTTGTTTTCCCTCTTTGTGGCTGGTAGTTTTCTTGGCTAAGTTTTCTTTGTATAACTAACTGCCTATACGGCTTTTATTCTCACCCTCCTCTGTGGGTATTCACCACTCTAGCCTAGTATCAAAGTAATAGAGATTTGCTTCTTGGGCCTGAACCATATCTTCTTTTGATTTAAAGTAGATGTGTGCCCTTCTGTTACAGTTGCCGTGCCGGTTATCTAGAGTGTGGACCATTTGTACTTTGTATTTTTTCAACTGTCGCAATAGTAAACTGTCATATGCTGTTCTCAGGATCTTGAAAATTATACTTCTGAACCTGTTTCTTTCTGCCAGTTCTGCATGATTGAATTTACCAGGAGTTATTCTGTACGTCTTTCTCTGGTCTAACTGAACCGACCAACTCTCTCTTAGTGCATTTTCTCAGCTTTCTATATTTGACACCATTTTAATGTATGCTGCTTTTGTATAAGAGCCGTGCTGCCAGGCTAATATTGTTGCTGAGCTAAAGAATTCTAGATATCTCTTGATCTTATTTCTGCTCATATATTTTGGGAGGTTCAGAGTGTAAACAAGTAATTAGACTTGATAGAGTTCTTCTTGGATACGAGTTTCCCTTTCGGTGCCCAGGCTGAGCTGTATATGTCCTCATATCTTTTAGGCCTTTTGTTATGCTTTTTATCTTTGGAGTCTTTGTTGTTATACACCCCTTTTGCGATTTGCTCTTCAAGACCATAATCTGTAGTACTGCATTCGCTTTGTACAAGAGCTTCTATTTTAGTTACATGGCTATTCTCTGCAATATTGTTGCTATTTTCATGTTCTGCGAAGCTTCTTTTGTATATACTATCATAGTTTTCCTCCACTGTGCTGTTTTTGGCACCAGTCTCTAATGTGGTTGAGTTTGTATAGCTGACTTCCATTAAAGATACTATAAAGTCTCTATTGGTATCTTTCTTTTGGAAGTTATCTTCAGCAGTGTTGTATCCGATAAGGCATTTTTCTTTACTGGATACTTCCTGTTCTCTTATCTCCTTATACCAGGCCCAGTTATGTATACATAGTACATTGCGAATAATTGCAAGTAGGTAGGGATCCTCTCACTTAAATATTCTGCAACTTGTTTGTCTTCTTTTAATAATGTTGCATGCTGTTCCTTATACAGTGCTAGTTTTTCCTCTTTAGATTTTTTAAAGAAATTTTTGTATTTCTCGAGCTCCGGCATCTTCTTTACTTGTAAATCACGTGATATACATCATAATTGGTTGTTTGTCATGTTTTAGTACTTAAAATTTTAATGTTTGGCTTTGATGCAAATTGTATGTGTTTTTACATGTTTTTCACGTGTTATTACGTGTAAAATCAATATTTTTGCTTGTGTGCTGTAGTGTGACTTTGTGTATTGTACTTGTGCTACTTCAAGGATCTGCACTACAGGATTAACGCTGTTTTCCCAAAGCTATTAGTGTGAAGTAAAAAGTTTTTCTTCATGTCAAAGTAGTAGTGTGTATTGCACTTTGCACTTTGTTGTTGCTGTATTATAGTGTTTTGCCAAACTATCTAACTCTCTGTGATTATGTGTTGTTGCTTGTAATAGACCGAATAATGTCTTGCCCGAGTTTTGACACCAAGTAGCCAACCTTCTACTGCCATTTACACTTTTCTGTTCTTTGGTTTTACTGCTATTACGCTTATTGCTAGCTAGACTACCTTTTACAAGCTCTTTCTATGCAAAATAGTGCTCAATATAGTTTTTATTACTGTGTTTTGGCATAGTATTGACTTTTATTTCTCTGCTGCTTTTGTGTCGAGTGATCGTTGGGAAAGTTGGTGTTTTGTAAAGTTAATTAGATCCTCTAATACTTTTTATTAATTCGTACAACTAAAATAATAATAAAAAAAAACAGTAAATATATAGCCTCAAAGGATTTTATTTAAAGTAGGTACAAAAATCTTTAATTTAACATTAGGTATTTCGACTAAAGATGGTGATCAATCAAAATTTTTTTGATTTTCGTAGAATCGATCATAAATGATCGATCATGCTCAGACATTTTTTTTTGAATATGATGGTGTTCTGAATTAAATTTAATGATTAATACATTTGATTTTTTTTATGATAGAACATATTGACAAAATATTTAATAAACAATAAGATTGATGCTTCATAATAGTTTAAGCTAATTATATAAATTATAAATTTAGTATTCTATAGTAAGATATCAATAAAATTTATCATAACAAAGTAATACCTCATAAATAAACTCTTTAGTAATCTTTTTTTCTATACTCATATCAACTTTAATGTTAAGACATTTAAGGGCAACTATTAATTTGCTGTCTCTCTGCTCGTATTTATAAACCTTTTCAAACCTCCAATGCTGATTAAAATTGGGTTAGTAAATTTATTATTGTGTGATCGATCATCATCTCTAATTTTGACTCATTAAGGATATAATATAAATAAAATTAAAATTTAGAAAAATAACCTTTTCTATTTCGCTTCTTACAATTTTTAAAAAACACTAGATGGCAAGATTTAAGATATAATTAAAGCACCGTATTAATAGTTGCATACTGTCAAACCTAAAACCAGACATCAATACAGAATGAGAAAATTCACACAAAAATTTCATATTGGCAGCCACATTATCACAGGTTATTGAAATTAATTTTGAGAGTATTTCATTATTTTGAAAACAGACTTTCATAGCCTTCACAATTTCAACACCTGTATGCGAATTCTCCATAAAAACAAAATCAAGTAGAATATGTTTCATTTTCCATGACTGATCTAGATAATGGATCGTGACAGACATAAATGACTTTTCACAATTAGAAGTTGTCCAAATGTCAGTTGTGACAGCTATACATCTAGGAACTTCCTGTAGTTTTTTTTGAAGCCATTCATGTTCAGTATCAAAATTATTTACAACATGACATTTTATGAGATCAGCAGAAGGTACTAAAAAAACTTTTAAGTATCTATATTTTATTATAACATTACTATAGTACAGGACATCTAGTCACATCATAGCACTGAATTTCAAAATGTATATATAAATATATATAGTAGTGCTGAAATTTTAATAATTAGCGCTGAATTTTAAAATTTAATGCTGAATTTTTAAAATTTATATAATGTTTAATAGTGCCAAATTTTTTTTTTTTTAAAAAAAAAAAAAAAAAAATTAAAGTTTTGAAAAAAATTTTAGATATTAATTAATCTATTAAAAAGTATTTTATAATATAAGCACTGAATTTTTTATATTTACTAATAAAATAAAGTGCTGAATTTTTTAAAATATTAATAAATTAACGAAATTTTAAATCAAAATAACTTTTTAATAAAAGAGATTTTTTAAAAAAACTCTCTATACCAATATTCTTTAGGTCTTAAATAATATTATTATAGAAAGCTTTTTTTTAATTGCTTATTTTTTAAAAAAGTTATTAAACTTTTAATGCAAGCAATTATTTTGTAATGTGACTAGATGTCCTGCACCATAAAATATTAATTATATTAACTTTACCAACTGCAGTAGATTCTAAATAAGCAAGTATAGACTTAAGTTCATTGTCTTTGATGATTTGAAATGATCGATTACGTTTTACAATCCCATTATTACTTAGTACTTCCAAAACATTAACACCTTTCTTTACATTTGATTGATCTATTAATTCAGGCACTTTATGTCTCTTAATATGTCTTAAAAGATTTGACATTGTCTAATCATTATAGGTCAGCGACTTGTTACAAATACCATATAGAGCGCTACTTGTTGCCTTTGTAAAATACTTCCAAACAATGGATCTATAAAATAAAAAATAGATAAACAAAAATAAATAAAAAAATATTAGAAATAAAGATTTCATATATTACCCATTATTTGTAGAGGTTTTATTGCTAGTTAAAGATCCTGCTTGGAATGATGATTTATTTGAGCAAGGTTTGTCTTGATACGAATTATCTTAAAATGATTCACTTTGATATGATTTATCTTGGCACGGTTCATCTTGGTATGATTCATCTTGATTCAGCTAAGATTCTTCTTAGCCTGATTCGTCTTGAGTCAAGTAAGATTTATTCAGATCTGAGTAAAATTCACCATGGTATAAGAATGATGATCCACTTTCTTCAAATTTATCTTGAGAATATGACTTGGTTGATATTGGAGTTTAAGTGAATTGCTTTAATATTCTAATGTAAAAATAGCCAACTTTTTTTAAATGTATATTTTTTTTAATACACTATATAAGCTATAAAAAAATCTCACTGCAAGGTTAACAGGAGCCGACTGAAAATAGATTGTAAAATTTTTTTTTTTAAAAAAAAAAAAGTACTGCTTTTTCTGAAAAAAAAAAAAGTTTTTTTTTATTGAATATGCTTTTTCTTAGGCTCTTTCCCCTGGGCTTTTTTTTCAGACTTTTTCTCATACTTTTTTTTAAAAAAATGAAAGCCTTTAAAATATTAGTTTAGATGCAGACTTTTACTAAATGTAAGATTCGATTAAATACAAATTTTTATGATATTATTGTTATTATGTATTATAAGTCTTTATTGTCATTTTTGACCAAAATGATAGAATAGGTGGGTAATATACAGTATATATAAGAAATATGCTAATAATTAGTCATTAATGTCGTGGAGTTAATAAATGCAATGAGTTTTATACTCAAACTGCCCGACAGTTTTATTATTAATTATATACTCGCCTTGTACTTGTTATGTTCATCAACTTGCAATTCATCTAGTCTATACCTTACAAATGTCCCTCGTAACCAACACTCTCTAGGTAGCACAGTACAGTTTATTAAGAACTGGTTATTTACAAGAAAATTTAATATGTGTTCGATCATAAAGATTGAACCTTTATTTATAGATTTGTCATATACTATTGTATCATCAATACAATATTATATTGTTTAGTCTATTATATTAGACTTTATATTACACTATCATCACTAACTTACTATACTCTTGTTACCTAACCCCGATATATCGTACCACATGCAACCAATTATTACCCATCAATTAATTTACATGAATTAGAAATTAGCCAATCAAAGTATGGTGTTATAATAAACTGGACAGGTATTACCCATACGGATCTACATGTAGGTCCAAATCAATATCAGTCTTGGTAAATCATAGGTCCGGTCCGGGTCCAGTCCGGGTCCGGTCTACAGACCAGACCAGACCCGGATTTTTTGCAAAACACTACTGCTGTGGTTGAAGTGAATGGAAAAGATATTTAGGTTCCTATTAAACGGGTGCAGGCTATAAAAAAAAATCATAATCAAATTTTTGGATTTTTTTTTTTTTTGAATTAGATTTTTTGATTCTTTTTTTTTAAAAAAAAACCCCAAGTTTTTGGTAATTGTAAGTTTGAGCATAATATAAGGTGTTAATTTAAGGTTAGATTTAAGGTTAGAATTTAGTTTAAGACAAAATTAGGAATTTAAAATCATAAAAAGGTTCTTATACTAAATTTTTGTTATAACAAGCGATTTTTTTAATAAAAAAAAACTTGTTATTTTTATTTGATATTACTTGACATAATTGGATTTGTTACTTTTACAGTAGGGTAGGTAGGGTATATATAGTATTTTCACAAAATAGCGCGCAGGATGTAATTTTGAAATTTGGCCTGAATTAAGCCAAAATTCAAAATAACGCTCCTGTGTATTATTTTAAAGGTTGTACCTGTTTATCTGACAACCCGAGACCCATTATTTTGATACTATTCCGGAATGGATTATGCTTATCCGGTTAATCCGGTTAATTTATATAAATATAAAAATAGATAGTTTGGAAGAGTAACACAATAAAAAATTATATCCCTTAAATTGTAACACAGGCAAATTTGCCTGCGAAGATTTTTACTAATTTTTTTAATATTTAAATTTTTTA